AAAATGCATGACGGAATTTGATACCAGATACATTAAAAATCGTGAAAAAAACACCCTCACACTTCATAATTTTCTCCAAAAACTTCGTGCACAGTGCTTCCTGCAGTCTTCTCAAAATCGATCATCATGGACATTGGGTTGAAAGATGGTCTCAGAGATTTGATTTCTTGGAACATTCTTTGATTCACTTCTTTTGTACCTCCTTGCCTCTATTGTCAAGCATGGTTTAATCATTTTCTGTGCAGGATTTTGCCACACAGGATTATGTAGGCATACTGTCAATGATATTTTTTTTGCACATAAAAATAACCTATTTCAACGTTTTTTCACGCCACTTCCAAATTTGGGGTACAGCTTTTACAAGGGAAAATACAGCAAAATGGTAACACAGACCAACTTTGAAAAAAACTGTAGACAGACTTGGACAATGAATAAAAATGATCAGTAACAATTATAAACCATTACAAAAATGTGAAAATATCTTTACTCCGTGAACTCATACTTCCACTGACAAGGGGAACTTCCCAAGCTGCCGCCTCCGATCGGGCTGAAAAAATTCATACGAACTCTTTGGATGAATTCATTTGACCCGTATTTTTTTGTTTTTTCCAACGCCCCCTAGAAACCCCCCAAAAAAATTCCGGAAAGTCTTGCTTTGAGCGCTCGAGTGTATATACGTAGTATAGCGACCATTTCTCATAAGTCGGCGGTGGCTCTACGGTAGCGCGCTTGACCGGAGTAACAGCGGCCCCGGGTTCGAATCCCGGGCGCCGCGCCTATTTTTTACGACCGAATTTTATATTCTCACACATTTTCACATCGAATCCCATTTAATACAGTGGAACTTAAAACATCAATTAATTTACAACCATCATCAAACACAAATTGATCTACGATCAATAACTTCTTCAATTTGAAGTATAGATTTTTTTTNTAAAAAATAGGCGCGGCGCCCGGGATTCGAACCCGGGGCCGCTGTTACTCCGGTCAAGCGCGCTACCGTAGAGCCACCGCCGACTGATAAGAAATGGTTGCTATACTACGTATATACACTCGAGCGCTCAAAGCAAGACTTTCCGGAATTTTTTTGGGGGGTTTCTAGGGGGCGTTGGAAAAAACAAAAAAATACGGGTCAAATAAATTCATCCAAAGAGTTCGTATGAATTTTTTCAGCCCGATCGGAGGCGGCAGCTTGGGAAGTTCCCCTTGTGAGCTTGATTCTGTAACAAGAATTAGCCTCGGTTGTAAATAAAATTTAGCACACTTTGGAGACACTGTGAGGGTACAATACTTATGTGAGCAGAATCACTTCAACTAGCATCTGGCACAAAATTAATGGTGCATTATCCATGAAGTTATGGCTCTTGCAATGAATTCCAGATCTTAAAATTGACTGGCTCTGCGTTTTATAAATGTTTTACTGAAGTAGTTCCGATATAAAATTGTTTGAACATCAGTTAACTACACTCAGTTTTATTATGTTCCCTACTTCAGGACTTAGTGAAATTTTCACTGGAACTTACTTTGCCTGGCACAAGATCAAAATTATTATGATTTAATCATTACAACAGAATCAAAATGTTTAGTTTATTCTTCAAAACTGATGCTGCACTAGAGACTCAAAATAATCAGTATCAAAAACTTGTTTTCAAAAATGACTTTTTAAAATTAAGTTTTCAAAAACTCAATTTTTAAAACTTAGTTTCGAACTTATTGTTAGTTTTCATGCTGCAATTCAAAATGGATGCTATGCACCACAGATAGATGTTTAAGCTTTCTGGCTTCCAATTGATACTGAAATTGACAAGTCTTGTTAACAATAATTATTACGCGTAGATTATTTCACAATTGACTTACACTATTCATAAATCAACAATACTAATTAATAATAATAATAATAATAAATTAACTACAAAAGAAGGGAACAGTAATTCTGTAAAAATATGTAAATAAATAATATACCTTAAAATTTTATATTTAAACCTGAAATACACGAGTCATATATAAAATTACAATAAGGTACCTACAGTGTTGATAAAACAGTTTATTCACAATTTTTTAATGCATGACTTAAATTAAATTCGAAAAAAAATTAACACATTTTCCCCATATACAGAATATTTTCCTGGAAAAAACTATTGGGAAAACTTTATCTAGGGTCACGATAACTCTAAACAGAGAAATCTCATTGAACTGTTAAAGTAATGCGAGGTGTCTCAGGTTGGAAACTGGATTTTGGTCATAAGTAACCCACCATGAATCCAAATTAGGTTTTCTTCGACCTTCCTGAAAGCTGATAACATAACTAAATACATATACTATATGTCTCCAAAATCTGATGAGCGCATCGGCAAATTCTGAAATTCACAATCTGTGTAAGAAATCTGCGTTTTTATTGAGGATCCCACTTCAAAAACGATACAGCAGCACAGGTGAACATTTTGTTGAGGGGGTCATTCCATTCAGCCCCTGCTCAATAGGATGTTTTGCAATATTCAACATGGCTGATGCCAATTCGCCAAAACACGTGTGACAGGACGAAATTCTAACCACCTGATAACAATCAACATGTTTACATTCATATCTTCCTCACGTTGAGACTGTTGAGAGATATCCACCTTGATTGACCTTGTGCTCTCCTCGACTGCGCGCGGAAGTGTCAGCCATGTAGAATATTGAGGAACACTCTGTTGAGCAGAGGTTGAATGGAACAACTCCTTTCACAGAATGTTCGTCTGTGCCATAGTATCTTACTTAAAGCGGGAAGCTAAAAACACGCCAATTTCTTACGCAGATTGTGAAGTTAGGAGTGCATTTCAGAATTTGCCGATGCGCTCATCGTGATTTTTGAGACATTTTCTACGGGAAACAACTCTTATTTTTGCCCTAGCAAAACTTTACAATAGGTCGATTGTATAGAACTTATTTTGAGCTTCTTGGGGTGGATTGCATGCAGCAGAAACAAAGAACTCTCCTTACCAGTCACGTCATTTTACCAAAACCAAGTTTCCAGCGATTCGATAAATTTACCTCGTTTAGATAGGTCTCCTGAAACGTAGGGGCGGGGGGCAATTGCCTCCCTTGCTCCCTTGGCCTTAAAGACTGCTGAGAGTGTTAATTACTAGAGAGAGTCTGTGATTTGACAAGATGAAGGAAATTAAAGGGAATTCTTAAATGAAGCTGCATGCAATCTATCCCAAAGAAGTTTAAAACGAGTTCTTTGCAATTGAAGTAGCGGTAGCACAAATTCATTGGTGTTGGTGGCATTGTTCGACAAGAGGAAAGTAAAGGGTACCAAAATTACAAGTAATCAATCTTTAATTAAAAACAAATGACAACTTACATAGAAGAACGTTTTTAAAAACGATAATAAATGGTGAATAAGGGATTACTTTTCGTCAGAAATTCCTAAGAATTGCGGGACACTCGTGAAGTTGCTTTGACTCAAACCCTGTGCCAAGAAAGCTAATTTCAGTTTTTCAAATCTGTGAATGTAGTGTCCTGAATTGTGTGGTCAGCTTTCAGAAAGGATGGAGAAAACCTAATTTGGACTCATGGTGGGGTAGTTATGACCAAGGTCCAGTTTCTAATGTGACACATCTCCTACAAGGGGCATCCAAAAAGAAATTTTATGTTGTTCATTTCTCAGAAACAGACAAAAAAAATGCAAGTCTGAAGAAAAAGGCTGGTTCCTTGTACCAATACCTCTGCATGAAACGCAAGTTTTTGAAGTTAACAAGAATAATGATTTTTAAGTGGAAACACCTGGTGAGTTCCGTCCCTTAAACAATGATGTGCCGAAAAAGGATATACACCGAGCTGCCACGTAATTGTTTTCTTGCAAGGAGGCATTCTCAGGGCATGATAATAATAACCTTTATCCTGTATTCATCAAAAGAAATTAAAAGAGAAAATCTTTAAAGGTTCCTGGCCATTATTTCCTGGTTACTAAAGTAGGAGGTGTGTGCGTCATTATCGAGTTGCCTTTGCAAAACATCGCCGATTATGAAATTTGCATTTTCATTCTTTTCTATCTTTTGCTGGGAGAAATGAAAATAGTGCGAATAATTATAGGCATTTACTTGCAGTGTATCGTAATGCAAATACAAATTTCCAAAATGTGTGCAATTGGCGTAATCTCTTTATGTGAGGGCAGGAGAGCATTCATGACTAACATTGGTGTGGGCGTCCCATTCCCATTTATTCTAGAGGGCAATTGTTCAATTAATGCTGCTTGTGAAATTGTTGAAAAGGACCGGCGGTAACAATAAAAAAAATGAATGATATTAAACCTCTATATATTGTAAACGGACATTCTAACATTGAAAATTTTCGGTGGAAAAGCTTGAATTCCAAAAAAGTACATAATGGGTCCCCATTTGGTGAATGCAAGCGGGACTTTCCCAAAATCAATTTTCTTGCCAACAGTTGGTCCTTTGACGAACTTGAGCCCTTTACAGCCCTGATAAAGAACGCCGTATTAACGCTCGAGAGTTGCCAAATTTCTCCTGATAAAACATGAATTTTTGAGGAAAATTATGCATATTTTTCCTTGAAGTTGTCAGACATTTTAAATTAAATTGCCAACAAAATTGTCTGAAAAAATTGAAAATAAAATATTCATCATTTTCTCAGTAAATTTGGTTTTTATAAAGGAAATATGGCAACGTCTAAAGGCTCACATGGCGTTCCTCCTTAGCACCTTAGCACGGTAGTATGCATATACAAAATCAGAGACAAAAACTGACGCAAAAGTTCCGGGTTGGTCCTATCAACCATACGAACTACATGAACTTACAATTTGGATGCACCCCCCCCCCCAATAAACAGCCTCAATTGAACAAAATTTGGGCCAACTCTGGTGCCTGATGAACTTAGACTTATACCGAATGATGTTCTTTTCTCAGGGTGTCCAACAAACAATTTGAATAGGTAGCTGGGACTTCTTGATGACTTCCAGTCTGAAACTAAGACCACAGGATGAAATTGAAAAGAGTAGATTGAACTCCAATCGTCTCATTTGACATTTACTATCCCTTAGAGAGCAGGTCTATTAATTGCTACTTACATTCACTAAACCAGTGACAAGAACTCTACTTTCTTTAGCAGGGGATGTTCAAAAGGGGGATCTTTAAAAAATCATTAAATCCCGATTTGTTCCATTCTAAATTTCCATTTGGTATTTTCTTTAACTTCCAAGTCCCTCTTATGCTGGAATCATCAAATTCTCAAATACTTTAGACACTTTATATAAAATCTTCTTTCCTTATTTGACAAGAGCGAATCAAAGCATCAAATCTGACTGACTCAATGTACAGTCACAATGAAAAACGTCAATATCAGCCACTGTTATGATACACCAGTTTCTTCTTGACAATTGCTTCTGTGATCAAGTAGGTTCTCTTGCTCCTCAAGGCTTGCAATTTCAATGCCATCAATCTTGGAGCGAGGACACACCGGTGAGATTAATGATGAAGACTTGGTGGAGTTCTGTTTGTGCTGATGCTGGGTAGGGCTGAAGTCATTAAACTGGCCATTCAGTTCATCTAACTGCAACCAACCATCACAATCTGTTGTAATAAATATCTATAAACAACAAAACAAAGATGAATAAAAATAAACAAGGTAAGGTCAGTCTACTTTTTCTTAGAATATTGGGTACAGTGGGAAAATATTTTGATTACACTCCTCTATGTAAAAGAAAGAGCCTGGCCAAAAAGTGGTGTTTTTTCGCCCCTTCTTTTATACCCGAGTTGGTCAACCGGACAGGGCTCAAATGAAAGCCTATGGTAAGGCAAACTTCCATGCAAAGTTTCAACTTGAAGTGAAACCTCGTTTAGGCTGTACAGCGTTGCCAATTTTCCAGTTTCATGTGCTAAAATCAAGGATATTGGACTATTAGTCCGGTGCATAAGTAGACTAGTACACCCGAATTGGTCAACGGGACAAGGCTCAAACGAAAGCTTATGGTAAGGCAAACTTCCATGCAAAGTTTCAACTTGAAGTGAAACCTCGTTTAGGCTGTACAGCGTTGCCAATTTTCCATTTTTATGCGCTATACTCACGAAATACTGAATCATCATGGTTCAACAGACTATTATACCCGAGTTGGTCAACGAGACAAGACTCAAACGAAAGCTTATGGTAATGCAAACTTCTGGGAAAAGTTTCAACTTGAGGTGAATCCTCGATTAGGCTTTACAGCGTCGCCAATTTTTCATTTTTATGCGCTGTACTCATGAAATACTGAATCATCATGGTTCAACAGACTATTATACCCGAGTTGGTCAACGAAACAAGGCTCAAACGAAAGCTTATGGTAATGCAAACTTCCATGCAAAGTTTCAACTTGAAGTGAAACCTCGTTTAGGCTGTACAGCGTTGCCAATTTTCCATTTTTATGCGCTATACTCACGAAATACTGAATCATCATGGTTCAACAGACTAGTATACCCGAGTTGGTCAACGAGACAAGGCTCAAACGAAAGCTTATGGTAAGGTAAACTTCCAGGAAAAGTTTCAACTTGAAGTGAAACCTCGTTAAGGCTGCACAGCGTCGCCAATTTTCCATTTTTATGCGCTGTACTCATGAAATACTGAATCATCATGGTTCAACAGACTATTATACCCGAGTTGGTCAACGAGACAAGGCTCAAACGAAAGCTTGTGGTAAGACAAACTTCTGGGAAAAGTTTCAACTTGAAGTGAATCCTCGTTTAGGCTGTACAGCGTCGCCAATTTTTCATTTTTATGCGCTGTACTCATGAAATACTGAAGCATCATGGTTCAACAGACTATTATACCCGAGTTGGTCAACGAGGCAAGGCTCAAACGAAAGCTTATGGTAAGGCAAACTTCTAGGAAAAGTTTCAACTTGAAGTGAAACCTCGTTAAGGCTGCACAGCGTCGCCAATTTTCCATTTTTATGCGCTAAACTCACGAAATACTGAATCATCATGGTTCAACAGACTCGTATACCCGAGTTGGTCAACGAGACAAGGCTCAAATGAAAGCTTATGGTAAGGCGAACTTCCGGGAAAAGTTTCAACTTGAAGTGAAACCTCGTTTAGGCTGTACAGCGTTGCCAATTTTCCATTTTTATGTGCCAAAATGAAGGAATTCGGGACTAATAGTCCAGTGCATCATAATTACACAGACTAGTGCATCGGTCTACGAGGTGAATACTACCCTGAGATCGAATAGAAGCGCAACTAAAAAAAAAGCGCTATAGAAGCGCTTTTTTTCTTTTTTTACGAAAATAATAGACAAAAAAAAAGAAACTTCGGCAACATTTGTGCAGAAATACCATTTTTTGCATGAACGAAAAGTAAATGGCATGTCCTGTCGCCTCCCAAAAAGGGAAAACCACTAAAATCACGTTTTGCTTCTCTAAAATATCTTCAAATTGGAGCTGAAAAACTCATCATTTTATCGTAAAAATGCCTTAAAATTGTAATAAAGACTTAAAAATTCTTCTTCTCTTTTAAAAATCAATCCGATAGTATTGTATGGTAATAGTTTGCCTACCGTGTATGGTGAAGGAACCTGAAAGCACGAATATTCGCACGGAAAGCTCAAAAATATCGGCGTCTCGTCGAAAAATAAATGTACACAATTAGGCAACGTTACTCTGAACTTTCCATTTTTGCCTTGAACAGAAATCATGTACTATGCCATGGTGATATTCAGTCATTAGAATGACATGAATGCCTTGGAAATTACGTTATCGAAGCATTCACGTGAGAAAATCTTTAGTTTTTGTAAGAAATTAAAATATACTTGGCAACATTGCGTTCGGAATTCCATTTTCTCCGTCTGTAGCGTTCATTTACTATCGAGTCGTAATGTTTAGCCCACACTCATCAAAGTTATATTAGCCCATGAAGGTACGTTTTCCGCCAAAAATCTCGGAAAACCCCTAATTTTATGTTAAAAATAAATAATGTATTGGCAACACTGCTTCGAAAAGTTCACGATGGCCTTTAGTTGCGCTTCTATTCGATCTCAGGGTAGTATTCAGCTCGTAGACCGATGCACTAGTCTGTTTAATTATGATGCATTGGACTATTAGTCCCGAATTCCTTCATTTTGGCACATAAAAATGGAAAATTGGCAACGCTGTACAGCCTAAACGAGGTTTCACTTCAAGTTGAAACTTTTCCCAGAAGTTTGTCTTACCACAAGCTTTCGTTTGAGCCTTGTCCCGTTGACCAACTCGGGTGTACTAGTCTACTTATGCACCGGACTAATAGTCCAATATCCTTGATTTTAGCACATGAAACTGGAAAATTGGCAACGCTGTACAGCCTAAACCAGGGGTCACTTCAAGTTGAAACTTTGCATGGAAGTTTGCCTTACCATAGGCTTTCATTTGAGCCCTGTCCGGTTGACCAACTCGGGTATAAAAAAAAGGGGCGAAACTTGGCGAGGCTCTTTAAATAGATATCAGACAATAGGTACCAACCAAACATTTTTTAACTATCACTTGTTCCTAGACTATGACATTCCATCTTATGAGCAGAAAAAGACTCATCAATGCAGAAGCACAAATAGGTACACAGTGGGTTTGGGTTTTTTTCCAAAATGTTTCTTCTCAATCTAATTGTTTAATATCATCCCACATTATTGTAATCAATATTCATAAAAGAGAAGAGAACCTTAAGATTCATTCTAGTCCATTAGAACTGCGAGAAATGAAGAAATAAAGACAGATTTACACGGCAAAGAGCCACACCAAAGCTTTAGGGAATGCACAGCAAAATAAGATAGGATGGAAAAAGAACCGTTTAACATTCCAAAACATTTCTTGGATATTTTGAATGCAAATGCAAACTAGTTAATTTAGGTTTTGAGATTGCCGTAAGTACCATAGGGGCAATAAGACAAGGATTGCTGCATTCTGTATTCAACATTGAAAAAATAACAAAAAACATTAGTATGGGTAAGCATAAATAAAGAGTTACCGTTGAAAGTCCTTATCAATAGGATCATGCAAAATAGGGCTTATTTCGCATTCCTAGCGGTGCCAGCACTACTCAGCTGCAGTCTTTTTGCCTATAGGTATTATTCACCAGCACCTTTTCACCCAAGATTTTTAAACCCGCTGATATTTACCCACGACCCCTTTAACCTACCGTGCATGTTCTTTTTTTTTTTTTACCTACGAGCGTTTTTATCAAATAAAGAGCCTCCCAAAAAAAAGTCCTTTCTTTGCCTCTTTTCTGAAACCTGGGGATTCCATTCCTTTGTAGCCTAAATGAAACCTTATGATGAGGCAAGCCTCCAGTAAGAATTTTAGCTTGAGTATACGTCTGATTCCGAGATACAGCGTTGCAAAGTTGGTATATTTGAGCTTTAAAATTCTCATATTTTCAAGTACCTTATTTTTTGTAGACAACTCCATTGAAATATTTTATGATATTTTGTGACATTTTATCAATACCTACTTAGTGTTATTATTGAATACATGTCTTTATTTATACGGCAATAATGCTAATTCTGTTGATACGACATTGCAAAATTGGCATCATAAACCTATGAAAAATTCTCATTTTATCAAGTTTCATAATTAAAAAACGAACTTCGTGGCCACCTAAAGATATTTTTATAGGGTTTATATGCAAATTTATGATAAAATAAGTCATCCGTAAAAGTTTTGCACGGAGTGTAAGTATAGTTTTAACAATACAGCGTTGCAAAGTTTATAGATTTGAGCTTTAAAACACCTATACTTTTAAGTTCCCTGTTTAAAAAGCGACTCTCGTTAATATTTTATTACAATTTGAGATATAAGATCAACCATTTATGTTATTTTTAGAAGTATGTTAGTATATGAGCAGGAATACTTTGACTGGTGGTGACACTGCGTTGCCAAGCTTACAACTTTGAACTCTATGAACAATAGTTTTTTTTAAAAAATTGAAGACGCCTTTAGTGGGTATCATAACGTTTATCAAGGCAAAATATCAAGGGTCGATGGCAGTCCTGGGACTGTCATCGACTCGATCGACTGTAGAGAATTGTCACTTGGGTGACAGTTGGTTTTGGCAAATATCCTGTAGCAAAGTTTATTCATGATGTTTTTCAAACAAAAAATAATGTAATGATTTTAAAAGAAAGATACTTCCATTGATTATATGATGCTTTACATTTTTCCCTTCCGAAATATTGAACTTTTAGAACTTATAAAAGAAAAAAATATTAGATAATAATGCCAGAACAATAATTTTTGACATACCTATCCACTTGATGATTCTTTAAAAATTGTATTTATTTTTGAAAGTTTTTATTTTTTATTTATTTAATGATTGTTTTATGTATTCAATTCATTTTATTTACCTTATTTTATTAAAACCTATTATTATTATATTCAAGATAATCTGTTCTCCAAAGCATAATGGATGTATTGTCCCTATTAAGATTTATTTCTTCAGAAAAAACTCGAATTGTTCATATTCTATACTTGTGTGTGATAGAATGCAATCCAATTTTTATAGCAGTTGCTATATCCAGCTGCTATGACAGAGCCTCTTCAACAACTTTCACTGGTAGTGTAAAATACATGTAGGTGAAAACTCCCTCTTTGC